TAGTTTAATCAAAGGTTTCATGTGCACCTTGTGGTTCTGTTCTTTATCCCTGATTTTTCCTCCCAGGCTTATGAAGAAGGCTTTAGTCATATTTCTCCATCCAAGCCTGCCACACAGCCCCAGCCTGCTAGATTGGAGGTCCTGGAGGCCGAGGAAGCTGTGGCAGTCTTCCGCCATCTGCTGGCTACCTCCTATCACCACTGCAAAACTGGTTTGCAAGGATTTCTGGGCAAAGAAAACCACTGGGAGAGTAGGTGTGGAGAAAAGGATGTCCCTGCCTTTATTTGAAGAGAGAGAGAGAGAGAGAGAGAGTGAGAGAGACTAGAAGAGGACAGAGGGAAGCTGGTGTGAGAGAGCTTTTCCTCTCCTGGAGGTGGTGTTAACACGTCACTATTTCAGACATCTGAGCTAGGATATTTCTATGCAGGTTTGTTTTGCTCAGGAAGGACACAGCTGTGCTTTAAAAAATTTTTATTTTTAGATCATTGCTTCACAAGACTAATCAAAGAAATTAAAGTCACATCTCTATAAGGCTCATTTGAAGGAAACAGCAGAAATTCGTGCTGGTGGGAATTGAGGTGTGTGGGAAGTCAGAAAGAGGCAGGGAAGGGAGCAAACTTGTCACAGTAACTTAGTAAGTCACAACAGCCTTTAATTGGTTCATTTGACATATTTTGAGGACCTAGCATTTACCAGGCTCTGATCCAGATGCCTGGGATAAGCCATTTCATATAAGGGACTTGAGCATCTGTGAATTTTGGTATTCTGGAGGTGGGGCTGGACCCAATCTCTTATAGATGAAGGGACAGAGGACTATACTATGTGGTGTGAAGGAATGTGAGAAAGCACAGAGGAGGAGTGTATATCTAAATAGACTTGGGGCTGTGGTGACAGAGAACTTACTGGAGAAGATTGTCCAAGCTGAATTTAGGAATAGTGTCTGAATGGAGACAGTGATGGTAAGGGTTTTCCACTTGCAGAGACCATCTCTTCTCGTACAGAGCATCACCCACCATCACTGCCTGAAGAAGCTGAGAACTCTGGATACAAAGCAGAAGCAAGTGGGTAAAACATTAGGTCTGAGACAACAAGCCATTGATTTAGTGCACTGAGGTCAGCCCCAGCAGGAGAAGCAAGCAGATCCATGTGGGGAAGCAGCATACAGAATCCTGGAGATCATAGAACAGGACAAGAGGATCTGTCCACAAAAAAAGACAGGTTCAAGGTTGTTTCTGCCTGCATGTTGGATATAGGCCACCTTTTCCAGGTATATGTCCTAGTCAAACATTCAGAAACTTGTGAAGGACATCCTCTCTGAATCTATCTGAAATTTCTTCATCTAAATTACTGAAGTCATTATGAGACAAAGACAGCAACGGCCACACTAAGAATTATAAATATATGAAGAAGGTAAGGAAATGTTAAGAAAATTGTGGTACAGCTCCTGGATGAACTATCAAGTAGCCCATGGAAAATGGTAACTCTGGAAATTGCAGGACATGGTAAAATCTTGTGAAAAAGTCAAGATCCAAACTTGCAGGGGAAAAAAAAATTCAGATGGAAAAATACTAACTTGCTAGTGATGATGCCCTTCTCTTCTCCTTTGTCTGCCTCATAGAACATTCTTAGATTACTTTTATCCTGAGTTTTTAATCTAAAGAAGTTATAAAGATGAAATGTGCATGCTGATTAAGGGAAAAACAAAAATTACCCTAAATAACTAATGACCCTATTTATAATAGTCTTTGATTCTGCCATTGCAGATTCAGTTTTCTTTCTAATTGTATTTCAGTTTGTGTGGTATATTCATTTTGCTTGTTAAGTCTATCTTAGCCTTCCTCTTACCCACACCCCCACCCCTTGTTCCCTAGATCTGTGGGATGTATTGTGATGTCTGCCCACTAATTTTGCTGTGACTGGGGCTGGTGTCTGGTTGGTGATTCATGTTTGTTCCAAAGTTGTACATCTGTGTTGGTTGCTTTGAAATAGTGCCCCAGGGAATATAAAAGGCCATTTGTCTCCCTAAGACTGCTTCTTTGCACCAGAGAATTCTTCCCCAGCTTCTAAATTCCAGCAAACTCTCCTATGAGATTAGACATGGTAAGAAAGAAAGAAAACAAAAACCAAGAGGAGTACATGGGGAGAGTTTGGGTGCCTGGGTCTAGTCACAGCTTCTCTGGCAAGGGTGAACATCCTTCAGACATTTACTTTCAGAGTTGGGATGTACCCTCTGCCCACTAGAAATGCCTTTTGCAGAAAAGAGAGCAAAGTGAGGCCTGCTGAAACCCTCAATGGAAAAAGTTCTGAGAGCTTGCTAGGCATACCCACTTGGCGCCTCTTCTAAGAGGTTAGCACAGATACACACAGCAATGATATTCATACCCTTTAATGACTAGTACCACATGAGCACTGACCAATTAAGTGAACTCAGGCCACAGTGCTGGAACTCAAGATACCCTGCTATTCTAGATGCCAACTCTTTGGTAACTGCATCATTATGAAGTTCAGGCTATACTAGGGGGCCTGGGACAATGGCTGGATGCCAAGTTTTAGAAAAAGCATTTTGTTGTTTAAATATCCAGAATCTGTACGGATACATACCAGATACATGAATGCTCATGAAATTTCAAAGCTCATTCCACTGTTAGACTTTCACCTATTAAGAACCTTGCCCTTTTTGTTCTGAAGAAGGATTTAGACCCAACATCAGGACGTACAGGTTCTACAAGATTCAGGTGACACAAAAGAGCTTTTCTCTACAAAGGAGCTCTTTATTTTGCTCAACAACTAGTACAAGGGAAGTCTGCAGTCTGCTTTATTATATTTTTCCTTGTTGCAATGTGTGTGGCTTACAACATAACTCCACTTCCAGGTAGGCTGGCAAGCATATGAGTGATTTCCTTGGTGTCTACAGTCTTCAAAAGGCAGCCCATTCCAGACCTTTGGCCTGTTGAGAAAATCCATCTGTGGCATCTTGAAAGCTCAAATACATATTGGGTTGTCGTGTCTCTTCCTTGGTCTTTTACCCAGAGATTCTCACTTCCTGCTTCTTATTGAATACCTGTTTGTAGTTATATAAAAGAAGCTTCTCAGAATGGTCTCCAGAAAAACATTAGCATTGTGCATTCTGTTCCTTCTTTGACATTTGTTTCAAGAGCAGCTATAGCTTCAGGGTAACTTGCTGCCACCCCTGTGTTAATTCAAGATAGTACCCAAGATTGTTGCTCATAGTCTGATTGACTCTTTGCATACTAACCATAACTTTCTTTTGAATCCAGAAACTGAAAGGAAATCACATTCCATTATCCAAGGGGCCATTCTGGAACTCTATGATTAATGAACTCAGAGGTTCTAAAGAAATGAATTGGAAGACTTGGGTCTTCCAAGGCTCCATTTACAAATTTTAATAGTTCCCTCATATCTGCAGTTTTACTTGGTGTGGTGCAGATTCATTTACCTATGATCAACTGTAGCTCTAAAATATTAAATGGAAAATTCTGTAAATAAATAATTCATTAGTTTTTAAATAATTTTTATTATGGTTTATTTTTATAATTGTTATGTTATTAGTTTCTGTTAATCTCTTTGACTTATAAATTAAGATTTAGCATTACTATGTATGTGTAGGAGAGAACAGAGTATACGTTTATATAGGTTTGGTACCATCTGCTGTTTCAGGTACCCACTGGAAGTCTTGGAATATATCCCCTGCATTCAGATAAGGGGATTGGGGAACTGCTATTCTAGATTGATACTTTAATCAAGGTATTTACATCTCCCTAGACTTTGTTACCACAACTGTAGAGTAGAATCAGATTATATACTTTACAAGATTGTTAGGATTAAATGAAACAATATGCCAGAAGGCACCTTGTAAAGTAAAGAAATATAATCAAAATCTACCTGAAGGAAGCAGAATTAGTGAAAGAAAAGAACTAAGGATGTAGAAATAAATTATGGCCACTGGATGAGTATAAAGGAAGCTGACTATTGTGATCTAACATGGAAAAAAGAGCATCTCCAGCCCCATACTCCTTTCACAATACCTCTCTGCAATCTTGAGCTGGGGAGCAGTGAGTATTTCAGAGAACTGAAGGCAAGGTGATTATTGCTGATACAAGGCTAAGACAAGTTGTGTGTACAGGAAAAATGAATATGGAACGATAAAAGAGGATGTGGGAAGGACTCAGTGCCTAGGGTAGTACCAGGATGGGGAGAGCAAACAAGACACAAAATGTCTAGTGTCTGCATGTTCATTGATCAGAGCTATTTGCATAATTCTGGGCTGGAGGGTATGTCCTAAAGTGAAGGATACTGGTCAGAAACCTCACTGGCACCCCTCTGTGGAGCCCACAAGGCCATCATCCTCCACAGACCCAGCTCTGCAGCCTTGGAGAGTAATTTGGTGTTATCAGATTAATTAAATCATTTTGTGATTAAATTTGCATGTTATTATTAAATCTCAGGCTAGGCCTCCAATCTAATAAGGCAGTGGATGTTTTCAGGATAACACTTTGTTCCCAAAACATTTAGAAATATGCATATTGTATCTTTAATGAGACCATGATATTTATTTATGGCAGGAAGAAATCTTCCAGCTAGAAAGACTCATTCTCATAGCTCAGTGTCTGACACCTAGAGCAGTGCTCTATATCCCCTCTGGAGTGTTTATTACTGCCAAAATTATTTCACTCTTGGCTCCCAAATCTAAATTTGTCAAAGTTGTTCTTGCTGCTGAAAAGTCATGGGGTTTACTATTTATTAATGGTGGACTTGGGTGAATGACTGAACTTGTGTGAGACTCAGTTTTCTTTGTATAAAATGGGAATGATAATGTCTGAAATTCAGAGCTGCTTCAAGAATTAAAACTTTCTGTAAAGTGTGATGTTTTATGTAATGTGTCTGATACACAGTACCTGTCACATATGGTTTCTGGATGTATGTTAGTTGTCCTCCTTCACAACTCTTATGTGACCAGAGTTTTCTGCTTTCTCTTTAAGCTTCGATGTAGAAAATGGCCCTTCCCCAGGTCGGAGCCCACTGGACCCCCAGGCCAGTTCATCCTCTGGACTGGTTCTTCATGCCACCTTCCCTGGGCACAGCCAGCGCAGAGAGTCCTTTCTGTACAGATCAGACAGCGACTATGACTTGTCACCAAAGGCAATGTCAAGAAACTCATCACTTCCAAGCGAGCAGTAAGTAAAGCACTTCTTGTCTTCCTTCCAGTCTAGCACTTACCTCATCTTTAACCCTGTCACAACAGCAGCAACTTCTCCCTTTTAACCTGAGGGAAAAAGGAAGAAAAAAAATGGACATGAACAAAGGTGGCAAGTATGACCATCTTAAAGACATCAATGCTCTATAGCATGTGATTTGTAGCTCGGATCGTCATGGGCCTTAGAATCCTCAGGCACAGTGTTCAGTTCACATCTGCTATTGATATTTTTAAAAACATTTTCGTTGGGCTTCATTCCTGAACTGCTAAATCAAACGTTTATAGAATGAGAACCTTAACACATTTTTGCAAATCACACTTGAATTTTCAGCTGCATATGCAGTTTGCTTGAGGCTCCAGCAGAGAAGAAAAATGGTAGTTGGTTACCTGCATTCTCTCTCACTGGCCTTTGCCTGGTGACATCTAACTAAGGTGTCATCAGTCACATGCCTGTGGCCCTTTCCTGGAACATTAACACAATACTCACTTGTTGCCTCGCTCCCTGGTGAAACACAACACACTCCCTGCCCTATGAAGCACAGATGATATTTTTGTTTTGCTGCTATTAATTGTAGATTTCAAATTTTTTTTAAAGAACAATGACTGGTTTATGTTGCCTGTTTATTAAATTTCTGAAATCAAATAAAATTGGATGCTGAAATCCATGCCTTAAAAGGTTTCTGGGCACACATACAATTGTTTTTAACATCATATGTTATAAAAAAAAAAATCAGTAACTCCCAAAAGTCTCCAGCTTAAAAATTCCACTGGACTCTCTTCCTCTATTAGAAAGGAAAACAAAAAGGTTTCCCTTCTTGTGAGAAGGGCAAGGAACATTTTAAAGCTAGCAGCAAGAAAATATTCCTTGGACCATTTCTACCAGAATAGAAAGCAATAATAGAAGCAACCCAGCCCTAAAATATTTCAAGCATTGTGTAGGCCAAAGTTCATTTTTTACTCATTTGGAAAATCTTTACTGAGATTATCCTATGCACCACAGAGTATGTCAGCTTTGGGGATGAAAGGTGAACAGAACAGAGGAAAAAATCACAGATGAGTGAACACAGATTTCATTTGCCCAGTTTGCATGCTCTCAGGGACAGTACAGCTGATAGGAAGGGTAAGAGGAATATGTACATGCACACATAACTCTACAGAGCAGAAGGAAACTAATATTTAATGTGCACCTTCCACGGGTTCAGATTCCTTTCCGTCTGTTATCTCTGTTAATCATCCTAGCCATCCTGTCAGGTAGGTTCCACTCTGTAGAAGATGTATTTGTGACTGTGACATTGAGAAACTTGTCCTTATTCCACAACTGTGTCTCATGCCATATCCCATGCTGTAGCTAAGGATGACTGTATTCTTCCATTTTATGTTGTTATGACAGAATACCTGAGACTGGGTACTTTATAAACAAGAGATTTATGTGGCTCATGATTCTGGCGGGTGACTGTAGCGTCCCAACAGCATGGCATTGCCCTCTTGCCTGCATTTATCCATGGCAGAGAAATGGAAAGGGAGCCAGCCATGTGCAGAAGGGCCAAGCGAATAGAATCACATTGTGTTGTAACAAGTCACTCTCATGAGCACTAACTCACTTTGAAAGACCTACATTAGTCTTTTCTAAGGGCAAGGCTTCCGATGACCTAACACTCACACTACACTCTACTTCTTAAAGGTTCTACCACCTCACCACCCTGGAGAACAAACATCTAACACGTGAACTATTGAGGACACAGTCCAACCAATTCCAAACTGTAACAATGACCATATTTAAAACTTTTGGATTTTTTTTTTTTTTTGTCCATGTTCTTCAAACTGCAAAGTAGCATCTCTGTTACCAGGTAAGAAACAGTTGAAAGCAGGATAGAGGTAGCTGAGGCTGGAAGGAAGATAGAAATTTTGCTATAGATCATGTAGAGTTAGCAGTTTCTGACTAAGATTTGGATGGTGGGCTTGGTCAGGGAATGCACCACCAATTAGCTCCTCTACCAAGATAAACAACTTCCTAGATTTTATCATGGAAGGGCATAGGAAATGTGGTGAGTTCAAAGCAATTGAGCTTCATTTACATGGTATTTTATAGACAACAGACTAGCTTTGGAAGACAGGCATTCACCAAATTTATTCACATTCCAGCTAATAATTACCCAAACTCATTCTAAACAACATTACGCTCCTTCAGGTTATTCAGAGCCTGTGTAGACGACACTAAACAAACTCCTGACAAAACTCTGGTGTTTCCTTACTTAGAAGCAAAAGAATGCAGAAATTTTGAACTTGAAGAGAATGCAAATATTACAATCCAACTCAGTGTATAGGAGATGAAATAAGAGTTGTAGAGTTGGTGACTCTGTATCTAGACCCCTGTCACTACTTCTTTACTCCTTCACAATTTTACTGATCAGTAAAATCTTCCCCCTCCCTTTAGAAACTGTGCAATGTTGCCAATTTTAAATTTAGGCAAGTAAGAATTGCATAGTAAATTATTTAGCATCACTCTCAGTTTATAAAGATAAATAATTTTCACATAAATATTACGGATACACTTATAAAATAAAGAAGAGCCTTCCCTAAGAACACAGTTGGCAATATACCACCCCATCTAAAATACTGAGAGTATGTATTAAAATATTTGTGAATAAAAATAGCACAAGATATTTTTTGAAAATATTCAACAGTACAATAAAAGATCTCATGTTTATCAATTTAGGAATTTATGTTTATTAATATAAAGTATAACCAAAATTATAGTTTTCATAATATCCAAGTTCTTTGGCATTTCACTTCATCAGGCCCATGTTGGAAAGCCAATTTCGCCCAGGCATCCAAACCTAAACTGAAGTAGTGCTCATAGAGCTGTTTCTCCAGATTAGCACTCTCCACAGGAGTCCTTGTGCTTCCCCTTCCCTTCCTCACTTCTACCAATAGATCAGGAAGAAGAGGGGTCATGACAAACCAAAACACCCATACAGGTAGGCTACAAGATGTTCCCTGTCCAGGAACTCCTCAAATCCAGCATACAGCAGCCATGAATTTATATAAAAGGCAAAAAACTTTGCATAATTCTGCTGAACCAAATCTTAACAATAGAGGAAATGCTGACTTGTAAACATTTATTGTCTGAATTCTCTCAGAAGAATAAGTGAAAATTATGGATAGGGAAAGTAAAAGATATTAAGGATGAAAGGGGAATGGAAAATTAAAAATGGCTTCAACTTTTACATCAAAGGAGAGATGAAAGTAAAGCTTTCTAGTAAAAGGAAACAAGGTTTCCACAGGATCCCCAAAGGAAATGTTAGGTGCTTTCCTAGATGTTGCAATGATCTGCTGGTTTCTGTTCTTTTCCTGGATTGTAGTCATCTCTACTGTAGTGCCTTGGCAGATGGAGGCACAGATTTCCCAATGTGGACATAACGTACTAGGAATTGGCAAGGGCAGTTTTATTGCCCAAAACTGTGGCAGGAACTGTCCTGGACAAGAAGCCATTTTGATTATCCACCACACAACCACAGAGAAGACAGCTCGTTTGTTTGTTTGTTTTTCATTTGGTCATTCCATTTGCAAAGACATACATGGATAAGGAGTTTTTTAAAGCTGACATTTTACATGAAGACAATATAATTTCTAGAGAGAATCGTCAAGGGAAATGAGACCTAAGAACCAAGGTGAAAAGCACAAATAATGGCTCACTCAAATTTAAGACCTGTTTATTAATGAACTGCCAAAAAGTACAATGTGGATTCTGTGAGTTAAGTTTGACTTACAACCATTCCACTTGCTAGCACTATGGCTGCAAAGACATCGAATCTTTTAGATAGTGTGAATTATCTATCATTAAAAGCACACATTTCTTAAACATTTCCCGTGTGCTATGTACTATTTAAAGTACTTTACATATATTAATTCACTCTATCCCCAATGTGGTAGGTACTATAATTTTCCCATTTAAAGATGAGGGCATTGGGGTTATTATGAAAAACAGGTCACCTTAAGGGGAGGTCACATACGAGAGAGGGAGGATAAAAGAAGGAAGTTAAGAAGGTGAATATGGGTGATGTATACAAGAATGAATATAGGATCTTTAAGTCTGTTGAAATCACCATAAGAAGGGGACTAAGGTAGAAAGGAGAAAAATAGAGGAGATGAACCTATTCAGGTTATAATACATGTATACGTGGAAATGTCATAAGGAAACTCCCTGTATAGCTATCTTAAACAAGCAAAAAATGTCTTTTTTTTTAAATTAGAGAACAGGAGGGCAGATTAGGTCCTGCCTGGGGGTTGGTACGGTGGAGGGGAGAGTGTGGGGAGAGAATGTAGGAGAGTGAACATGGTGCAAATATTGTGTACACATGTATACAAATGGAAAAATGATACTGTTGAAACTGGTCCAGGAATGGCGGGGGGAGTTGAAGGAGAATGTGGAGGATGTGAATTAAACTATGATATATTTGATATATTTTAAGAACTTCTGCAAATGCCACAATGTACCCCTAGCAAAACAATAATAACAAATAAAGAAAGAAAGATGAGGGCATTGAAGAACCAAAGTTTGAATCCAAACAGTCCAGGGAGCTAAACCATGTGAATACCCAGGACATAAACTCCATAAGAGGCTGAAAAATAAAAATAATAATATTAATTTCTGACTGCCCACCTTTCCAGATGTTGTGAGGATAACATACATTCTTTCTTTTCATAAGTATTCACTTAAATTTAGGCACTTTATTAATAAATAAGAGTTTCTGTGCCTTCAAAGGAACTAAAAGATTTCTAAGACAGTAGGTGGCTTTAATAGGGATGGGAGGGTGTGCAAGAGAGAAGGACATGTGCTAACTAACTCCAGTTGGTGGGAGACACTGTGGCGAGACCCAGTCAGGATGGCTGAAGCAGTGAATGTGAGGCTAGGGAAGTGTTGAAAGCAAAGTGTGTAGAAGGAATAAGCATGAAAAACCTAGGAGCTGTTCTTTATGCTGCAGGCAAGCAGTGGGGAGCCGCCAAAGGCCTTTTAAGCAGGAAGATACATAATTAGATGTTTGTTTGTGAATGATAATTGATGATTCTAATTCCAGTGTGAAGGACAGTTTTGAGAATGGACAGCCCTAAAGAACCAAATGAAAGGCTGCTTTGGTAATCCACAGAGCAGAGTAAGGTGATCTCTACCAGAGCAGATTCAGATTTGTAGATGTTTGCAATTTAAGATCAACAGGCATTGGTTGTAGCTTGTGGGGTGATGAAGAGGGAAATTTCAAGCTGGGCCAACAAAATTGGTTGCATTATTCCCTGAGACCAGGAGCTTTCTTTTATCACTTGAAAAAATGTCTACAAAAGCACTTTGCAAACTGGAATGTACAATAGAACCATGAGTTCTCTGGACTGCAATAGTACCAGGCATGAATATTACTACTACTTCTCGGCCTTTTGACTAAGATCAGGTCAAATGTAAAGATATCTACTACTAATATGAATAACTATGACTAAATAAATCCATTTTTTTCTGTGCCAAGCACTGTCACTAAAAATTACACAAGTATTGCCACTCATTTTATTCTCATCAAACCAATTTTACAGATGAAGAAATTGGTACATGAAGAGATTGTCTAAAGTCTCCCAGCTTTAATAATAGCTGAGAAGCAAACCAGTGCTGTCCAGCCCCAAAATCTGTGCTTTTAATTATTATAGTATACATCTCCCTATAAGACAGACCAAAATCAGTTAAAGAAAAGCATAAATGCAATTCTATGTGTAGGGAGGAAACAAAGTAAAAGTGATTAATGAAATTCAGAGGGTAGCAATGAGAGGCCACATTTTTCTTGCTGGAAAACTATTCCATTGCTTAAATCAGACCTATATTCAACTTCAAGATGAGAGAGACTCAGTTCTAAGATTTGAGTTCTTAATTTTTATGTGAAATTGTAATGTTCTAATTCTGTCACTAGAGGTCGCTCGTGCAATGGTTCTGAATACTCTGCTTTCTTCAGTGATTTGAAAAATTAAGAAATATATCAGCTTTCACAAAGTGTTTGTTATTTCCATGATGGTTTACTCTTCACTGGTAAGATATCAAATCTTTATTTTAAAAACATTCAGAATACTTCCATAACTGGTGAGCGTTTCTTTTCATTTTATTTTGTTTCTTTCCTGATACTATAAATTATCTAATAATTTCTCTAGCAGCTCAACTATTCTTTGACATACATCATTAACTTTTGCAGCCCAAATATTTTAGGGAGCCAGTACAAAGAATCTGAAAATCTATTGTCTGCTTCTGAATATCTGGCTCATCTAAACTTCTGAAGTTCCATGATGAATTCATGTGGACATGTGCCTTGTTAATGTTTGTTTACCTCCCTTTCCTTAGTGTGTGCAGTTTTAATAACTCCACAACTCATTCATCAATACATAAGCTCTAAGCACCACTGTACTACATATGTAGATCTCTGCTTATCTTATTTGACTTTCATCAGATATTTAGACTCAGGAAATCCATCAGCCATAGATAATCTGTTTGAGTCTAAACCTATTACCTGGCCCCTCAACTTACCTTGATACCTCATGTACAATGTAAACTTCAGAGATATGAACATACAGCAAGATCTCGCACCCATCTCAAAGTTGATCTTACAACAGATAGCTTTGGAAGGGGCAATTTTTGGGTCACCTCACTACATTTGTCACAGCTGCTTCTCTCCTAATCTTAACTAGTCTCTCCTCTTCCAAGGATCCTAAGCTTCTTCCTTAGGCTCCTTATCTATACTTACTGCCACTTAAAGAAGTCATCTCCTGCCATTGCCTAAACAATCCTAAATCCATAGCTCTAACCTCCCTTATTTCAGTCTTCATCTGGATGTCAACGAGTGCCTTGTACTCCATGTCTTTAAAGATGTCAGTGAGTACCTTAAGTACTCCTCCTCACTTTCTTAGGTTTACTCATGACTTCGCAGGTATTCATTTCTTAAATTGAACATAGTATTTCTTTATATGGTTAAATACTGTATGAGTCCTGGCAAGACCTCTAGAGTCTTCACCTTACTGCTTGCTGTTTCTTTCTTGGTGGTATCTGTTCCTTCTCATGGACAATATCCCTTTAATCAGTCCTTCTGGATCTATCCCCTCTCTATTTCATCCATTGGCATCCATAGTATTTTACTTTCTAAAATACTTTTCTGTTTTCCCATCTCACTTCCTATGTCACTAAAAACCTCCACTGGATCATTTCTTCTTACTTAGTTAAAACTGCACCAATTTCATAGTCTGTCCTGACTATAATATGGGTGTGGGGACCTTCGAGCCTTATTCTGTACACATTTCTATAGTTAACATGCTAGGCTCCACCCCAACAACAGCCACCAGTATCATAATTAGCTTATACGATATTTTAACATATCAGTCCTTTTGCTCTTGCCATTTCTCTCATTGGTGGTATCCACTCTCCCTGCCTTTTTCAACCCTGACCTTCAGAGCTCATCTCCAATACCACTCACTCAATCAGGCCTTTCCTAACTGTACTTAACCTCTCCTTTGAACTCCATTAGGTAGATATTGTTTGTATTTCTCATTCTGTGTTTATGTTTACTACAGTAGACTCTTGGTATCTGTGGATATATGATTCCAAAGAGACCAACACTGAGGAAAACCATGCATGCTCAGTAGGCATGGAGTTCAGTGCTGCACCACAGATACTTGACTCATTTTTCCCATAACATCACCAGCTTCTGCTAAAGACATGCTGCCTGCCTTTCAATAAACCTAAAATTTTCACTTTATCCCTTCAGTTAAGCACATTGACATTTATCTTGGATTGGGGGGTGCCATTTGCTTTTTGGAAGGCATATTGTCACAAAATTAAGGACTAGGAAATTCTCAGCAGATCATGCAAAGATTTAAACACAACTGAAGATAACATGGGATGACTGAGCTTCTCCCATCATCTAAACCGCATAAGTAATGCAAGTACACACAGAACTGTAAAATTTTTGTTGTTGAAATTTCTTTGATTTTTTTTCTTTCTTCTTTTTATCACACTTAGTCAAAACCACATGTAATAAATCTGTGAATAAAGTGAGCTTACTGTATGGTTTTCTTAAGTATCTTGCAGTCTCCCCTACTTTGGTTCTAATTTGGGAGCTCATGGATTCATTTGTCAATGGTGCAGTATCATCATAAAACAGGAAGCATGGTATTTAAAAGCACAGATTTGGGGATTAGTCTAGTTCTTCCATGTACTAGCTATGTGCTAGTTAAGCAACCGCTTAACCAGTCTGCAGTTTGATATCATCTGTAACACGGGAATATCAAGAGTACTTGCCTCATAGCCTTGTTCAAAAATTAAATAAGATAATGCATGCAAAGGCTTGACATATAGTAATCACACAAAGAATGCTTACTCTTTGTCAGTATTTTGTTGTTGTTGTTATTGTACAAAGTAGGCATAGATTACTGGGCAAGGATTTCTAATTAAAGAGAAAGGTAGAAAGTATCATATTAAGTAAGACCCCATGTTAACACCTATGCTGAAGAAGCCCAGGTAGATGTAGGTGTTGTTCAAGTCTGGATGCTCAGGCCTCACCTAGTACTTGATATGGGGCATGTCCTTAATGATTATAGGTTACCCTCACGTAGTTAATGGATTAGGTGCTGCATTTTTGTGGCCATCATGAAGACAGAGGGGCTGGGGAGCTCACTGTCACAAGCTCCTGTGCTACTGTTATGAGTCACAAAATGACAGCAAATTGACCTGATATTGTGACTGCAGCTCAGGCTGACCTATCTTCTAATATCATTAAATGAGATCTTGCTGAAGGAAGGCTTAGTACACTTATTAAGACAAGTGTCAGAGAGACAGTACTCGCCTGAAAACACAAACACAGAGTACAGCTTAATTAGGTCTTTGGGACCAAATGAGTGACAATGTTATGGTTTTAGTAGGTTTAGTCTGACTCTCGCGTTAAAACCTTTTCCTTGGGTACTTTAAGAAAAAAAAAAAAGTATATTAAAAACAAAAAGTAATGGGATTCCCAGACAGAAATCTGTGTTTAAAAGGCATTAAAGCTGTGGTTAAAATCAACAAAAGCCAGGAAATCCAAAGTTAACCTTTATCCAGACTGTTATACCATTTTTTCCAACTCTGTGTGTGCCTGTGAACAACCCTCCCTTTGAATTTCCTGGCTCTGGCAACCAAAATCCACAAGTCACTTTGAATTACAGTAGTCTGTGTCTACTATTCATATACCCTGAGGAAACATGCTTACTTGCAAACGCTTTTATGTAGAATCACTGCAAATCTAGAATTCATCAACCTGCTGCTATTTTTTTTTCTTTCAACTCTTGGGCTCTCCATTTTTTGCCTAATTGCGGGTCCTGCTTTCTATCCATGTAGAGAAACCGGCAGAACATTTGTGCTGCTATCACTGATAAAGTTTAGTATTACAGCTTGTGTGTTATAATTCAACTGCATTTTTAAATGTCTCCTTTCTTTTCAACAGACATGGCGATGACTTGATTGTCACTCCTTTTGCCCAGGTATGTATTTTGCTGGCCCTTGCTTGCTCCCACTCTGTTCCTGGGTGTGGTTTCTAAACGTGGCCTCTAAACTTGGTCATTTTGTCCCTAACCAAATTTGAAACATTTTCCTTTAGGTCCTCGCCAGCTTGCGAAGTGTGAGAAACAACTTCACTCTACTCACAAACCTGCACGGAACATCTAACAAGTAAGCAATAACTTTTGTTGAGTAACAAATCCCTCTCATAAAAGCACAAAACATTTAATAACATTATTTTAAAAAAACTATTGCATAGATATTTAGTTCCCATGCTAAGTTAGGATACACAATAAAATTTGAACATATTTTAGAATTGGTAACACATTAGAAATTGTATAGACTGAGTTTTATTAATTTCATACCCTTAGCAGAGTACATAGCAGAAGTTCAACAAATGGAATGGATGAGGTTATTTTGTTGACTTTTATATTTGCCACTGTGTGCAAATGGCCATAAATGCTAGTAAAATTCCTTTTGAATAAGCTACTAATGAGTTCAGAAATTCAAACTTAATGATTCCAACAATTCAAATCTGAGCTGCCTGCTTTTTAATAATATATAAACCAGTTCATGTAGCTTGATGAAGAAAAGTAGAATTATGTTCTCCTCTGCAACCATCTAAATATATGCCCTTGGTCATTTCAATTCCTCCCATGTGAAACAACAGAGGTGAATATTATAACAGAGGTGTTATTCCCTGCAGTAACTTTCTCCTCCAAAATCATTTCAATCTATGTGCCTGATCTAAGTGCTATGCAATTAGATGTCTTCATAGTTTAAAAGATCACTACTGGCTCCATGGACTATAGAATCTATGCTCCTGGAATGGTAAGCTAGTGTTGGCCTGTAAGGCCATTCATTCAACCTCTGTCTCACAGAAGCATAAACCCAAGCACCCAAAAACCCAGGCAACCAGATAATGTCCACACCATAAATTAAAGATTCACTGGGGCCAAAACTCAAATCTCCTGATTTTTCAGCCAATGTTCACTGCAGAGTTCTCTTTCTCTCTAGTCAGTTATTCATGAGCGCTCAATTTTGCTTTAGTTCAAATTTTAATAGAGTGGCTTGTCAAAAGAGAGTAAAACCAACTTTAAGTGATTGCTTTTCCTTTCACTGTCCTATAACTTGTTTTTAGGCTTTCCCATGGGATGACATCAAGTACTGCAGTGGAATTTTCCTCACCACTGGGCTCTCTCTTCTACACTACTCTCCAAACACCTACCACAGTACTTTCTCACATGCCTTTTGATCATGTCACTTTCCTACTTGGGGCATTTTCTTTTAATTAAGATAAAGTTTAAATGGTAGTGCTTGGCACCCACGGTACCTCATGACCCAGATCAAGTTAACTCGATTGACATTTGATTGGGTTTGTGTTTAGTATAATGTACAGGTTGAGCATTCCTAATCTAAAAATCCAAAGTTCAAAAGTTTTGAGCACTAACCAATGCAAAGTTTCACACCTGATCTCATGGGATAGACCATTATCAAATTGGAGGTATACTAAAAATATTACATAAAATTACTTTCATGTAATATGTATAAAATGTATATGAAACATAAGTGAATTGTGTGTTTAGATTTGAGTCCTGTCCCTAAAAATTCTGAAACCCTTTTGGCTCAAGCATTTTGGATAGGGAACACTCAGCTAATATATGAAAACGAGAGGCTTGTCCATACCTATTTTGGAGTGGTGTTTCCTGTCTACTCATTCATTAATTCATCCAATAAGTGTTTATTGAGCACATACTCTTCATTCATACATGTATTCATATGTGCATTAACAAATATTTACTAAGTTTCCAGTTTATATCATGCACTGATGATATACTAGTGATAAAAACAGAGAAATTCTCTGCCCTTCCAGGGCATTTTATAAGAAGTGCCTGGAGATACTGTTGTGAATCAGACCAGATCTTTAGCCACACGAGATTATGTTCAACAGTTGTGGTCCAGTAGTTCCCTGTGTGCTGTTCTCTCCATCTAATTAGGGACTTACCGTTCTGTCTTTCTGAAATGTCTCTTTCCACCTGCCAGTGACTGCCTGGCCAGATGCTGACTCTTACAATCTGATGTTATCTCTAGTGTCACTTCATCAAGATATTTTCCCTGACCCTGTCTGTCTTGGCTGAGTGGTCCTCATTTGACTTAAGGGCAATTTAAAGACCCTATAGAATGCTCTTTATGGATCACAGCCTATCACATACACTATGTGTTTATTTTTCTTTGAGTTCTCAAGAATTAGTAAACTGCCTGGCACATAGTTTATGCTCTATAAATATCCATGGTACTATGAATTTCTGAGTAAATAATTATTGGAGGAAAGATCACCAATTCTTTAGAAAATTCCTTTTGGGAAGTGATTCCTTCCTTATCTCTGCCTTTTCATTTTTATAGAATAAGGCTTCTAGAGCCATACATACTGGCTTTATAATTCAATTCCACTACTTGGAAATTATTACTTGGGCATGTTAACACCTTCCCTATGTCTCAGTTCCCTAATCTATAAAATAAGGTTGTTGTAAAAATTAAACGAGTTGATATTTATTTAACACTTAAAACAGTAAGCACAGTAAAGTTGAGCTATTAAAGGTGATAGTCCATTTCTCTTGCTGAATTCAGAAACAACACAACACTTTGGGGTTTTCACATTCATTTTCTCAGTGCTGATTACCAAAAACAATACTCATGACAGGTATTGTTACCTCAAGTCTATGGATAAGAAAACAAAGCTTAAGGAGATTAAATGACTTGCATGTGACCATATAATCATACTTGAAACCTGGCATCCTGACTCTCAATGCAATGTTCTTCCCTTTTACCACAACTGCTATGTCCTCTGAGTTTGGGAGAGAAGTCCCTGGAAGCCTTAGGAACAGAAAGACACTTAGGGAGAACTTATGGACTAGATGAAGGTCATAGAGCCTAAAGGCAGAAGCATTAGTTAAGACAGTGTCTTCAGGAATTAAAATGTGACCAGAATGATGTAGAATGGGGAGGAAGGCGTGAATGAGGACAAATTTCAAAGACTTCTTTAGTGCAACTGGACTCAGAATCACTGCACTGCATTGCTCCAAGTAGAAAGTGGGGTAGACAACAGGTTTTCAGTCTTATTTGTTACCATAGGCTTGGGGGCTCCTCCTCTGTTAGTGATGTTTTGGCATTCAGCCTAACCCTGTGACTTATAATCTATGTCAGCTGAAACTACTTTCTCAAGAATCAGAACTTTAGATAGTCTTGGGGGGTTTTGGCCCTCTAAACTTCTAGGAACTAAGTACCCTGAGACTATAATTGTCATCCACAGAACTGACCAAGAGCCCATTCTCACACTCTGGTTGAGAACCATCCCTCAAATCATGGCCCTTGGTGTCATCTTTTGTCCAAAGCAAACCACACTTATCAAGCAGAATAGGTCTCCAGCAGTAAGATAGCTGTATCTACTTATCTTCTTCAAATCCATACCCATATTTGTACAGTGCTGATTCTGTTCTTGATTTCAAGTATTTCTTTATAACCAATATCAAACAACAAAAACATAAAGCTGGGCAAATTCCCCTAGAACTTCGCCAAACTGAGTTGAGATTGCCTCAGTATAACTCAGGCTGAGACCTGAATGAAAGGTATCAGCTACAAATGGAATAGCCTGGCAAGGGAAGGTTGGAGAACCACATCCCTGTCCATTCCAACATGGTCACTATCCCCAAACAACTAGAAAAAAAAATCCAAGAGAAGGAACTGAAGATAAAAATTATCAGCCAGCTGTAGACACAGCATACTAAGAGCATTCCCCCACTATGTTAACTTATGTTAGCAATTGAAACTATAAGATTTATGGAATTCAGAAGTTGCTTTCTGGGATATTTAACTGAGGTTCCAGGGTGCCACACCCTGTCTTGAATGTAACATTTAAGCAATAATTATGTCCTTGGAGTAGTTTTCATGAGACATCTGGTTAGAGTGGTTTATTATATGAAAAGGAACTCCCACATCGAACTATGCTGCTTATAAGTTAAGGCTTCTTTTATCTTTTGGCTCTTTGCTCTGCATAAAAGTGGTCCATTGTGCTTGAGCTTTGCCACCCAAAAGGTGAAAATCTCAATGTTCCTGTTGAGGTGATTTCCTCACACCTTCATGAAATATCCCATTGAGGAGTAGTCAACGAATCTGTATTTCTTGGCTGCAAATTAAAATCTACATTTCCTTTGTCCCAGGAGTTGATTTTGAAAATCTGGCTTTCATTTAGAGTTGTTAATTCAGATAAGCATCCTTGAAACATTTGCTGGCTTCCAGCAGACTGATGGCATACTAAGGCATGTGGGTAAGAATGCCCCATCATTCAATAGTCTGCAACCAAAGTGGAGCTCAGAGAAAAGTGTCCTCTTTTATCATCCCACTCTGTGACTAACATTATGAATACCATGTGTGGCTATCAGGGATCATGTAATATCTTTGTATTAACATTCTTTCAAAGCATAGCTTAGTCAAAAGGTATGCAATCTTTGGAAAAGAATTAATAACCACTTTTTTTTAGTGTATATGAAATGTCTTTCACTGCTTTATATACTTTGGCAGGGGATTTAAATTAGCTGAGAATCATAAAATCTTGAGCATTCAGAACTGGAAAAAACATAGTCAAATTTCCTCAGAGTAAGTGAGGAAATATATGGAAAACCCCTCACACAGGACCTAGCACATTGTAAATCAGCAGTAAACGTTAGGTGCTGCTTACTTTCCCCAAGTGAGGAAGAAACTGAGAGGCTCAGAGAATTGCTGAAGGCTACATAGTTGGAAGGTGCCAGAGCCAGGATTAGGATTTTTGTCTATTATTCATAGTCCAGTTCTCTCTCCTCTGCGCAATTCGGGTCTGGAAAGTGCTAACTTCTGGAACCATATTACCCTCCTATTCATATCACCAGCTCTAACAGCCAGCATACAGATTCTTATGATTCTTCCATAAGTTAAGGACTGCTGGAAACCGGGCAACCAATATTATTTTCCCCTGAACTCATCACAATTTTCTAAATGGCAGTCTCATGCCTTACAAGCAGCAGCATGGCTTCCAGAAGTTATCCATTTATTTGTGATGTATTGAGCTTTTTCTTTGCACTAGAATAAGTGATAAACCCAATAAACATGGTCCCTGCCTTTCAGAGTTTCCACACAGTGATGTGTATCTGAACTAATAACTCTAAATAAAGCCACATATTCAAAAATATCTTGCAGGAAATAGGAATTTATATAATATGTGTGATTTCCAAGAAGTCATTGAGAGAATTGGGGTTCTGTGAATAGCCATGAACTAAGAAAGTAGAGATCTCCAACGTTTAGACTTAGTTCAGTGTCTTTCACAAAAGCATTCCTTGGAACTCAGGGAGAGATGCAAAATAAAATTACTAAAATATGTTAAGAATCCAATGAACATGCATTGAATACCTGCCTCATACCAAATACTATACCAGCTTGCAAGGGTGCAGCTTGAAATGAGAATCTGCTTCCATTTCTCAGAAATGAGTGAGGACACAGACAAGAAAATGGGAATTGCAATACAGCACGAGCAGTGCAGTGATTAGTAGGTGTAGGAAACAATGTTCCACAGGTAAGGGTCAATCACAGGAGGGAAGGCTCCCCGAAGGGGTGATGCCTGAGTGCAGTCCTAAGTCATATGAAAGAGTTAGCAGCTTAAAGAGGAGGAGAAAAATATTCTTTAACAAAATATCTGCAAAAGCACAGCAACAAAAGAGCATGAACAGTGAGTAACATGTAGAACCAAGACTCCATGTGGAAAGGAAGCTAGATAAAACTTTCATATAGAGTATTTGGTTCCTCAAACCATGTTCCCAACAGTGGTTCATCCAGTTAATAACATCAACATTCTGGAATTCCTATTTATTAGGAAGTTGGTGGGTCCTCCAGAGGACCTAAGGAAAGAAGTCAGAACTGAATCCTGCAATGAGTAGGTCACAGATGAGTGGTGGAGATAATATGCACCCAAATGAGTTGTAACACAAGGGATGAATCTATAGATACAGCTCAAGTATCATTGTCTCAATTAAGAAGATGATGTTCTTTGGAGAAGATGCTTAATTCTTTGAAGGGTAGATGATATTTCATGTGGGGAGAGCTTCCCTGACAGAGGAATGAACTGAGCAATGGCAGGAAAGGAATAACACATATTCAAGGCAAATGAAGTGATGGAGTTTAGCCTCCCTCCATCCATCCATCCATCTACCCATCCCTCCATCTCTCCATCCCTCCATCCATTCATGTATTCATCCTTCCATTCAGTATTACTGAGTACTTAGCATATGAAAGGACATCTTGGAATCCAGCAGTGAACAAGTTGTTCCCTGCCTACAGAAAGTTTGCCTTTAATCTAAGAAATCATATGTGGACCACTAATTAGACAGTGCCTATTTTAATTACAATTTTGAAGTTCTACAAAGGAGAAGTACAAGCTGCATGAGAGTGCACAGCCAATCAGTGGTTTGCGATGAGGTGTCAGGTGGAGAGGAATTCTAAGAGATATGCTAGAAAAATGATATTGAAACTAAAGAACGAAGAACTTTGAATGCCAGGCTGAGGAGTTCAAAATTTAACTTCTTAATTCTCCTAAAACACAGTCTTCAGTGCAGATGGTATAGTAAAAAGAAATTGCATTTGGATTCAGAAAGACTTGCCTTTGAATCTCCTGCCCTGCCAGTTAGAAGCCATGTGTGCTTCATAGATTTCTTAGCTTCTCTGAGCTCCAGGTTCCTTATCCTTAAAATGAAATGATAATACTCCCAATGGAAGCTGAGAAGTCTCTAACCAATGCCTAGCAGAGAAAACCAATCATTAGATGACAATTTCCCTGCTTTTGTCACGCATGAAAATTTGATACTACAGAGGACTTAAAAGTACCTTGGCTAGGATCTCCCAGCTATTAAATTAGCAGTGGCTGTGAGCACTATCCACAGACTCTGCAGCTATAATGTGTGGTTACATAGAAGCTAGATTATCCCTAAGAGATCAGAGATTGATCTGGAGGACTTGACAACCAAGAAAATAATTATGTGGCCAAACTAATTGGAATAACCCTCCTTAGTAGAACTTTGCAGGCCTTTCTCTGTCATTTAGAATTTGGCTTCTTTCTCAAAATTGCCTATGTATGGAAATTGACAAAGGAGTACAAATAGATTCCCAGGCCTTTTGCCAGATATACTGAAATGTATTCTTCATGGATGGGGGAAAGGAATTTTGTAGCTCTCCCAGTGAGTTTTGTGCTTACCATGTTTGAAAAACACTGGCCTACATTCCCACGTTTTTGCTCATTGTCTGTCCTGTTGGTCTGTAGTGGAGCCCAGACTCCCTAAAACGAGTAGTTGTAAAGATGTGGTCCCCAGACCAGCAGCATCAGTGGCACCTGGAAACTTATAAATGCAAACTCTCAAGCACAGCCAAGCTCTACTGAATCAGAAACTCCAGAGAGAAGGAGGGACACCCAGATGATCCTGGTGTACCTGAAAGTTTGAGCTCCCTACACTGTACTATTCCTGGGAGGGCCTCCAGCAATGCACTGGGAATCTGAGAGAGTCTGGCAGAGGAAGTCCTAGAAAACATGAAAAGGATTGTGAGACCAGCAAAATTGGAGAAGTATGGAGAAAGAAAAACAAACAAGAAAGAAAAGAAGGAACCCCAGTATGTTGCAGAACATGGGCTTGTTTGCTTGTTTCATTTATTCTTGACATCAGCAGACATACCTCCATGAAATGACAGTCCCCCAGGTTAAGCAAACTGGATTACTGTTGCTATTGGCTGTTTGACTTTTGACAAGTGACTTCACCTCTCTGGGTCTCTATTTCCAGAGATGCAAACAATGTGGGTCGTGATCTGATTGATCTCTAAGGGTTCTTCTGGATATAGCTTTCTACAGCACTGCCCAAAGGAACAGGGATTCACTCTGACATTTGGAGTGATGCCTGAGCAAGTGTCTCCTCTTCTGAGAGACTCCTGAGACAACAAAACCTGAAACACAGGGACTGTCTAGGGACCTGGAGTAAACAACTTCCTTCCTGGCTAGCTGGAGCATCCTGAGGCTGTGTGGAGGGAAATTCCAGACCATCTGGATGTGAGAGAATTGCAGTCATCTACCCACGTTACAGGAGCCTGCCTTCCGGAGATAGCATTATGTCACTTGATTGCTCATTATGACCTGGAAACCTCCTCAGGGATCCTAGGGGTGGGCGGCATTAATGCACAAACTCAGGCCTTCTTTTCCTGTTCCCCACAGGAGGTCCCCAGCGGCTAGTCAGCCTCCTGTCTCCAGAGCCAACCTGCAAGGTAGGCCATGCCCCGAGATCCATCTCGTGTTTCAAAATAATACATGTGCCGTGTATTCAAAACTGGTTATAGGATAAGAATGTTTGCTTACCCACCATGGCCCTCAGAAGCATGTTGCTTGGACTTTCATCAAAGGTGTGTGAGAGCTTCACTTTACTCCATGTGAAGCCAAATTAAAAACAGTATAAAATAATTTGCCTGTTGTATGCCCAGGCTTTCAGAATGTGACCAAACTGTGCTACTGCTGCTTCTACAGGAGGAGCAGGAGGCAGAGCTCTGTGGAGAATACTTGACCTCAGCTTGCTGGCCCCAGTAAACTCTGGGAGAGCTAACCTCAAAAGCTCTGAGGTGTCCACCTTGGCCCAAGGGCCCCCAAGGGCATGCTAGTGGTTTTCCTCTTAGAGTCAACTGTAGATCCCACTTGAATCTACATCCTTGCCAGGTGTGAAACCAAAGGTTCTTTCCAGGTCACAAATCATTTCTCTTGGAGGTTATCCAACTTTGTTCCTTCAGTGTGTGTGTGTGTGTGTGTGTGTGTGTGTGTGTGTGTGTGTGTGTGTGTGTGTGTTTTAAAGAACCTCACCTCATCTTTCAGTTCTGTGCATCTGCTTTTCATGTAGTATAGAGAGCTGCTGAGAGGAAAGGCCACCTTGAGGGAATACCATGGAGATGTGCTCAGTATACAGTGTTCTTGACATAAAAATACACCAGTTGGATGATCTTTTTAAAGTCCAAATGCAAGGTTTTGCCTTGAACCTGCCCCATTACTGTAGCAGTGGATTTCAGCAACACACCAGGAGAAACAATTGAGATGAAATCATACCAAGATCATCTGATAGCTAATGCTGTCTGCACAATTTTCTATTTCCAGCGAAGCTATTCTCTTTCCTTTAGACTTACTGTCTTCCTTACTTGGATGTTGTCTGCTGCTCATATTATGACCCCAAGTAGCACGGAAGTGTTATAAAAATCCAACTTCTGAAAGAAAGAATCAAAGGTAGTGGATTCCTTTGGCTCATTGGCTTCTGACATATTTATAGCATATGCTTTTAAAAATGTTTTTATAAGAAAAGATTGAGAACAAGAATAAAAGTGAAAGAAAGACATTAAGTAAAGGTGAGTTTACTCCAGAGCCCTATGATATGAAATAAAAAGAAATAAATAGCACTCTATCTTTGGACTTCAAAAACCTAATGTGCTGGATGTACTATTTCCTTTAGAAATTTTACAAAAAGAAACAAAATAGAGTATCTTAACATATAGCTGGTGTTGCATACTTGGAGATGAAAGGAGCTGGTTTTGAAACTTTTATAATTTCATCTTCCTGGCCTACCAGTGAGGGACTGTTTGCTTAATTTACTAAGATGTTTTTGACACCAATTTGAATATTTTCTGCTTTGTTTTCTTTTTCTTATAATAAATACTGGCAAACATTAGGAAAATATATGATATTTATGGATCTATAAATTAAATCATTAGCTAAAAGATGCTGCTGAAAAGACCATTTTGTGAACATTGGCACAGTTACTACTGCTTGGCAACTAGAAGTTCTTTTGCTAAATTCTTTTAAAACAATGAAGCAAAGAAATGGCAATACCACTTAGGCAATTTGTTTTTGTCTGTCTTTATGGCAAACTACAAAAATCCTGGCTCTTCATTGGGAAGAGACTGTAGTGGTACCAATTATTACATAATTATGGGTTTCAAAATCTTCTTAACGGTTAACCACAGTCAGAAAAGGAAGGAGGAGACACACATCCCGTGTTTTGTTCTTATTATCAGCTTAAATAAGTCGGGCAGATTTTTCCTGTTATTTTAATATTTATCAGCATATGACAAAGAGGTGTGTTTGAATAGAAACTTTAAAGGGGAATGAAAAATAAATGGCTCAGCGCAAGCAGAATAGAGAATCAGAATGCTGTTTTAAAAACTAATTTTTTGTGATAATAAGATCAGGTTTTCATTTATGATAAGTACTTAAGTTGAACTCATGTATTTGAATTAAAATCTAAGATAAAAGGTACAAGAAATTCATAATAATTTAAACAGATTTAACAACAATGTAGTTTGCTAGCAAAGTCTGGCTGAGTTAGATAACTTCAATCTCTATAGAAGCAAATGAGAGAAAGCTAAATCTTAAAAGCTAACTGCTTCTCCTCCTCCTCATTCTCCTCCTCGTTCTCCGTTTCTTTTCTTCCTCCTCCTCCTCCTTCTTCTTCTTCCTTCTTTAACTTATTTGTCCACATAAACAAAAGAAATATAATTTATTATAAAGGCTAATTGTGAGAAACCAAGGTTAAGTTGGTACACACTCTTACAAACTGATCAACTGAAACATTCAATGGGGAAAATCTCTCAATCTAAAATATCTTTCCTCACTGTTGAACCAAGGCAAATCAAAGGCATCCTGGCTCAACATAAATTTCCCTCCTTTGAAAAGACATGCCATTAAAAATTGGGGGGTGGGGGAAGTAATTGCTCCTTTTTTGTGCTGTAGCCAACAATTTAATTCTAGCATACCTTGCAATTCCTGGCTGATATTTCTCCTCCGTTGGAGTTTTGGTTCTTAAAGCCGGGGCCTACATCTTGTTCATCTCTTTGTCTTTCACATTTAGCATAATGATTTGCACAGAGTAGCAACACAGTGAATGTTGGATCCACCAGGAGAACTATATAACATCTGAACTTTATCTGATGGAAAATTCTTATAAAATTAGATTTTAACAATATTTTTATCTTTGTGGCTAGGAAAAGTATTTGGTATGTTTCTCTTTTATATTAAAAAATCAGCAGTTGCATTGGAATTAAAAGAGGCTTGAAGTGCTTTCTATTACTGCTTATGTATGCTGGTGTGTTCAGATAGGTTTTAAATAAAATAACTAAGAAGTGGGAATGTTGTCCTCTGAGTAGGGAAGCCAAGGTAAAGTAAATTCAGAAAGAGCAGTGTGGAAGCCATGCTCTCCCAGGTTGAGAAAGAGGCAGGAAGTCTTCCTAGGACTGTTGAAAGTGCTATTGCGGAGGAGCGTAGGGGAACCGCTCAATTTGTATTACACTTTGCCTTTTCAGAAGCGTCAGTTCCAGGCTTTTTCTCTGTTTCTCAGGGATTAAAACAGAAAGGAGAAAAAAAGAATAAAAGAAAGAAAGCTTTTTCATGAGACAGGGACTTAAATTCTGTCACCAGTATATATTCAAAATGTCAAACTAAAATTTCAGGATTTCGCTCCCCTAAACTTTTTTCAATAGAAAAAAAACCAGATAAAAAAATCAACAGTCTTGTGTGTGTGTGTGTGTGTGTATGTGCATGTGCACTTGTTGTGTGACCATTGTCCAGTTCTCCCACCCCATCTGTCCTTCGCTTTTACATGCATTTCCTGAGTAATTTTATGTCTTAAAGTCCAATCTTACTGAGAAGATAAATTACCAAGTAGTCATGGATTTGCAAAATGATTCTTTGCTTTACGAAAAGTATTAGAAAAGCACTGCCTTAATAGCCATCATCTCTGAGTCATATAAATGTCTTGCTTTTTAATAAGATATATCAAATATATAATATTTTAGCCGCCAAATTGATGTGTGCGGTGGGGTGTTCTACACTAATTTTTGTTTGCTATAAAATTTACTGATAACATTCTTAGTAGGAACATCTCCACTTGCAATGGATCAGTTATTATGAAGAATAACCCACAAGTCTGTGGGTCTTTGGAAATGGCAGCCAACTACACCCCCAAGATAACTAGAAGACTGCCTTGAGGACATTAGTTCAGATGGGTGCAGACACAAAGTCTCTCTCAGCCTGGGTATCCACAGCCTTTATGTGTGTTGGTTTTGAACATCAGTCAATTACAATGCATTTCAAGAAAAGACGGTATTCAGAGAAATGGGATGAGGTAGTATAGGGCTTTCCAGTAAAGTCTGAAATGGGTTGGCCTAAGTGAGAAACAGACTTAATTAAGGTTTTTCCAGTGCTCCCAGGAATCCATTTCTTCTAAACTGTGTGTCGGCCATTCTGGGGGAGGATGACTATATCAGTTGATAAAATGAAAGAAGAGGCTTTCTCTTAGGCACTCTATTTCTCTATGTGGGTCCCTTCCATGTCATTACTTGATTATGTCTATTTCTGAGGTTCAGTGGGTGGATGAGATGCAGAAATCTGTTCAAGGAGTGGGCAGGGGGCTCAGTGAGTAATCTGTGATTCAGAATTTCAAGACATTGGTCTCATTTTTTGCCGGAGCTCCCAGAGCCTGGGATCAGAGGACAGGGTATATACATAGGCAGAATGCTCTCTGAGAAAGCAGCAATGGCCTGAAAGCTGATCTGTGCCAGATGACTGGAAACGAAGCCCAGCACAAGCACAACCTTTGCTTAGTTTCTGCGTTAAGCAAGAACTGTCAGGCAGAATTGCAACACTTATGGGCAAATACGAACAAAATCAATCTTGTTACCAAAGGTTGTGACCACTCCTAATGAAGGAGGAATTGAAGGAAATTGCAAAAAGGGAAAAATAAAAGAGAAGGAAAACAAAAGAGGAAAAGAAAAAGAAAAAAAGCAGGAAAAATAGAAATATAGACTGTTTTCTTCAGTGGTTTGAATGTTGTGTGACCTAAAGTATTTGGATAATTGGCTCAAATAATTGAATGTTTAGGCAGCCTGCATATAAAATGATAGGGAAAATGCAATAGAAAACCCCCAGTAATTCTGAGAATAGTTCCCCAAATGATTGTTTTGTATGAATTTCTTTTGTCAAAAATAGCCCCCTTGTGAAAATTTACCCCAGAGCAGCAACACTGAATTGTTTATATTGATTTACAATTATTTCATGTATGTCTAAAATCAAAAGTGGGTAGTTGCAAAATCATTAACAAGTCAGCTACAGTGTGAATAGTTAAAATGTTACCCTTCAGAAACCAATGCCAAAAATGGCGCCTTGCTCAATAATGGCTAGTTTCATTAGTTCAAAATTAATTTCTAAATTGGCATGAATATTTTTTCATATTAAATGG